CTTGTCATTTTTTTTTTTTTCATTTGTATAATAAGAAACATGTTTTGGGGAAAACAGCTGATGGACATCATGAGTATACTGTTTTTCCCCCAGTCTGGACTGGTTATACCCGAATGTGTTAGCTGGAAGCCAGAGGCCCCCTGGATGGTTGGGTAGGGTTAGGAAGTCCCCAGTAGCTCTGTGCTTGAATTCCTTCTGCGTAGCAGCACCTGGCCTCAAACAGGGAGCAGTTGGCTGGAAGTCCAGACGTACTTTGTCTTCGACACACTCTTACCCGGTAAGGATGGTGGATGTGCCATTTTTATTTGAATAATGAACTAGACTTTGGTTTAAATGGACTGTCCTGATTTAAGATCACAGAAGTAAATATTTAGATAGAAGTGCTTCCTCGTAAAATTCTCTTTGGTCTGTAATACACCGAAAATGCAAGATACTCTTGTGATTCAGTGCCTGAGTGAGTCGAGAGTTTATTGATGCGAGGAAAAGTCAACATTAGGTGGAAGAGGGGCTTTTAAGAAGCCCATTAGAACCATTTGCAGTGGGAAATGTCGTTCGCATTAGAGATTGATTTAAGGACCTCTGGTTCTTCACCGGAGCATGAAGGCTGCCGGGTGGGGCTCTGTGCAGATCATGTTTATAGCATCCTTTGCTGATCTCTTTCTGGTTAATCTGTTGGTGTCTAGTGTTGAATGGGCTGCATCTGTCTTGTTTAAGGCATATAAAAAAACCCTGAAATTGAAAAGAAATCAACGATTAGCATAGTTTAAATTTATCGAATAGAATATATCAGAGGAAAAGGAAAAAGCTTTGCCAGTTCTAGAGAGATACAGCAGCACCAGATGTCAGCTCTTGGATCATTTAATCATTTTTTCTCTTGTGCATATTTTTGTCAATATTTTTTTCCACTGGAACTAAATATGCGTTTCTGGCTCAGCTTGCAGTATAAAAATTTTCCAATTAGATTGTTATGACTTCATTTTTATTCATGAGGGGAAATCTAATAAAGAGAAATCATCGCATATGGTGGTGTGCAGGCGAGGAGCTTTAAAATAAACCACCTGGCCCAGGGCCGCCAGAGAGCTGGCGTTCTGATGCTTTCTGGAGCCCAGGAGAGGCTGGCTTGAGTCTCCATCCCCCATCCCCAAGTAATTCTGAGTTTGGGAGGAATCCTTGGATTTATATCAGTTTGCCATATCAGTGAGATAAATGAGGTTGCCATATAATTGTCCTTACCCCAAGTCTAGATTAGTTATTTGCATGGTTTTTATTTTTATTGTTATTATTTAATATATTTTATTGATTCTTTACAGAGAGGAAGGGAGAGGGATAGAGAGTTAGAAACATTGATGAGAGAGAAACATCGATCAGCTGCCTCCAGCACGCCCCCCCACCGGGGATGTGCCTGCAACCAAGGTACATGCCCTTGACTGGAATCCCTGGGACACTTCAGTCTGCGGGCCGATGCTCTATCCACTGAGCCAAACCGGTTTCAGCACTTGTGTGGCTTTTATGTGGATTTTCTTCTTCATTCTATGTTACCTAGTCCGTATAGAGTATAGAGAAAATATGAAACACGCTGGTTTTTGACGTGAAGGAACTTTCTGTTTGTTTGCAGCTGGGGAGGAGGCTAAGTCGGTGACCTTGTCCGTTGTCACCCAGTGTAACGAAGTGCCCCCCCAGTAAGAGACAAGGGGCATGTGAATAAGCGTAATGGAGAGAGGGAAGGACACACAGTGGTCAGGGAAAGCTTCAGGGCAGAAGTGGGCCTTGTGCTAGATCTGGTCAGAAGGCAGACAATAGCCACGTTGCTTCAGAGTTGGGAAAAAGTAAAAGGTCAAGGTTGCAAGCTGGGTAATTTGTGCAGGCGTGGCTTTCCCCCACCGGCATGGTCCTGTCGGAGGTCTCAGAGGCCTGCTCCCACAGTGCCCACTGCGTTTGTCTTCCCTGCAGGATTTATGCCGAGAGCATGGGCGCTGCTGATTCCAGATTCCTTCTCCAGCTCTATCCACATGCTTTCTGGTTCTGTGGTTACTGACAGGCACTGAAGTGTACACCAAACTGGACTTTTGCCGATCCCACTGCTGCTAACTAAGGAAGCTAGTACCTCTCAGCCTCATTCTAATGGATCCCGAACTCAAAGTGTGGTTGTAAGGATTAAAAGAGGTAACGTAGCCGAAACCGGTTTGGCTCAGTGGTAGAGCGTTGGTCTGTGGACTGAAAGATCCCAGGTTCGATTCTGGTCAAGGGCATGTACATTGGTTGCCGGCACATCCCCGATGGGGGGTATGCAAGAGGCAGCTGGTTGATGTTTCTCTCTCATCGATGTTTCTAGCTCTCTATCCCTCTCTCCTCCTCTCTGTAAAAAATCAATAAAAAATATATTAAAAGAGATAACGTAGACAATATGTTAAGATACATGACTTCCAGTAGGCAGGCGGCATGACTTATTTGCTTTTCCTACCTGGTAGCCAGCCATCCTGTTGTCCTTGCCTGAATGTGTCTTGTTCTATTTGCATCCTTACCTGTGCTCAGGTGTGTCCCCTTTTTCTGGAATGCTATCTTACCTGTTGACGTCGTCACCGCCCTGAAAGATTTACTGTAACATCTCAATCAAAATGGAACTTTGGATCTTTTGGATTCCCAATTGTAGTCTTTGGGACGGCTCTCAGTTACTAACCCTACATTTTAGTTGTTGCACAACTCTCGTTTCCCCTACAGGTTGGTGAACGTGAGGGTTGGGCCTATGTCTGGGGCAAGGAGATAAAGAGTTCAGGCCATGTCCCCTGACTGTGTTTCCATACGTGGACTTGTGCATGGTTGTCATGGTTGCAGGATATTCTCATCATCATCTTGCCCCCCCTCCTTAACCACAGCCATATGCTGATAATTTCTAAATCTTTTTCTTTAGCTCTCACCGCATTCTTGTGCTGTAGATGTAATCACACATCTTGTGACTATCTCCAGCTTTCTTCTGTTTATACTTCCCTGTCTGGCCCCTTCATGGAAATGGTATTGTATCTGTGAGACCCTGAAGCAACAGCTTGGACATTCTTCATTTCTTCCTTTCCCATGTGGTCTCCATTGAATGAGTCATCAAATCTCAACTATTCTGCCTCCTAAATATGTTTTTTAATTTATTCCTCCTCTTTCTGTATTAAATATTGCTACTTAAATGTGGGCCTTCTCTCTCAAGTAATTTTACTGTAATTTCTTTCTAATAGATCTGCTTTACCCTATGCTTCATTCTTTTAAAAAAAATTTTAAAATTGATTTTGAGAGGGAAAGGAGAGGGAGGGGAGAAAGGGAGGGACTGAGGGAGGGAAGAAGGGAGAGAGATAGGGGTGTGGGGGAGAGACATCCACATGTGAGTGAAACATTGATTGGCTGCCACCTGCACATGCTCCAATCAGGGATCAAACCTACAGCCTACGCATGTGCCATGACCGGGAGTTGAACCAGTGATCTTTTGGTGCATGGGACAGTGCTCACCCAACTGAGCCACACCGTCCAGGACTATGTTGTATTCTTTTAAGTCCATTTTCTACAATCTGCATACATCACTCCCTCATGTAAAACCCCATGGTGACTTCCGTTCATGCTTGGTGTGGTGAGGTGGATGGGCAGCACATAGCTAGGATGAAGCTCAAGCTTTGTCGTGTGGCCTAAAGAATTCACATTGAATCCTGGCAGAGGAGGGAAATACTGTCCTCTTGCTTTTGTTCAAGCTGGACCTGCTTCCCTGCACCCTTTAACTAGGATATCCCCACTCATCCTTCAGGTCTTGGTGTGGGTGAGGAGTGCATAAGGCTGAGTGTTCTTCCTCTAGGCCTGTGGCACCTGTGCCTTCTCCGTAGCAGCCCATTGACCGGGAATCCTAGGCGTTTCCCTTGCAAGACAGTGCTTTCCATTAAATATCATGTTATCCTTATCGGTGGTCTCTGGTACTTATCCCAGCACCTTTCATGTAATATGTATTGTGCATTGTTTATCGAGTTGAAATGAATTAGTAAATGATTTGATTGCTCAGCACTCTGCTTTTACTTTGATGCCCCTTGAGGGTGTAAAGACAGATTTAGGGAAGGTTGGTGCTCTGCAGAAAAGTCAGTGAATCAGGCAGTGAGTAGACACTGGGAGTTTTTGAGCAGAGCTGTGGGGATGACAGTGGTATTTAAGGAAGATTGTTCTGGAGACAGCCTTATATTACAGGTTGAAAGTGCTCCTGGAAAGCGTAGGTGCAGGGAGCAGGGGTGCAGAGGCAGAGGCCGAGGCAGAAGCAGAGGCAGAGGCAGAAGCAGAGGCAGAGGCAGAGGCAGAGGCAGAGGCAGAGGCAGAAAAGCCAGTGGATGAAGCCATTGGGAGCAGCTTCCAGAGGCTTCGCACTTTCATTTCCACGTTTGCTCAAGTGGGATGGCCTCACTGGTGTGTTTCCGAAAACAAAATAGAACAGTGATGTGATTTTTACTGTTAAAGAAAGAACATTCTTGTAAAACACCTAGCTGATCCATTTTCCATCTGTATGAGACATAGTCATCATTAATTACTTGCAAAGAGTGATTATGAGTTTAAATTAAAAAATAAAATTAGCTTCTGATAACTGGCCTACACTCTCCCAAAGCCTGTGGTTTTCATTCCAGCACATCTTGAAGTAATTGTTAATTATGAGGAAAACACTTCAGTTTCTCTTCCTAGCCGCCTTTTATTTTTTAGTTTTGTTAAAATTAGTCCCCCTTGGGCATTTGTACTTCCTATGACTCATGTGGCTGTGTTGACTGGTAAAGCTTATTTTCCATTTATTGTGGGCCATGTAGCTCCACTCTGCCTCTTCTTCTTCTTTTTTTAATCCTTACCTGAGGATGTGTTCCCGCTGTCTTATTCTTAAAATTGGCCATTGTAAGTGTCTTAATTTATAGTTGTTTTGTTTCTTTTTTTATTACAGGCTTATGACTCATTGATTAAAAAGAAGAACTTCCCCAAATACTTTGCACGTTTAACTTCATATTATGGATACCAAGGAAGAGAAGAAAGAACGGAAACAAAGTTATTTTGCTCGGTAAGCATTTGCTCTGCAATGTTATATCAGTACTTTAAAAAAATATATATTTTTTGAGGGGACTTTGTATTCTTGGCATTTTGTGGCTTCTCATTGTTCATAAACAGAGTAGGTAACCTATAGAAGTTAAATATACTTTGCTTCCTGTTCTGTAGCTTAATTGGTTGAGCTATAACTAAAAATCTACGTCACATTTAAAGTCTAATATTTTGGGTGTGGGGTATCGATTACTTAAAAAGTATTTTTGGTCGGGGGCTGAGTGGAAAGGCGAAGGAATTAAGCAATGAGAACTCACAGGCACAGAAACATAAATAGAATTTTTGTAGGATGTTGGAATGGATGAAAATTCTATCAATGGTATCCATGTCATTTTAAAACATTTTTTTATTGATTGATTTTAGAGAGGAAAGAAGATACACACACACACACACACACACACACACTTGTTGTTCCACTTATTTATGCATTCATTATTTGATTCTTATATGTGCCCTGACTGAGGATGGGACCCACAGCCTTGGTGTATTGGGACGCCTCTCTAACCAACTGAGCTCCTGGGCCAGGGGCTTTGTGTCCATGTCATTTTTAAGGCTTGAACTCATCCAACATATATACATTTGTTAGTATCTGGGAGAAGTAATCTAGTATATTATCAGTTATTATGTGTAGATTTAAACATCTATATGGCAGCCACTCACAAGTCACAATAAAATGAATAAACTAAAACATTTGTAAATCAGATCGTTTTGCTAATTAGGATATTTTGAAAGTCAGAGTGAGAAGATAAGCTTAAAAGGATCATTACTGTCTCCTAAACTGAAATATTACTTACGAACTGAATTCAGGCTCACCACATCCTAAACCCCAATTTATGCTTATTAAAAATGCACTAGCTGCCTGGCAGGTGTGGCTGAGTGGTTTAGCATTGACCCATGCACCTGAAGGTCACTAGTTCAATTCCCAGTCAGGGCACATGACTGTGATGTGGGCTCAATTCCCAGTAGGGGATGTGCAGGAGCAGCCCATTGATGTTTCTCTCTCATTAGTGTTTCTATCTCTCTCTTCCTCTCCCTTACTCTCTCTTAAAAAAAAAAAATCAGTAAAGACTTATTAAAAAATACATTTCTTGTTTTCCAAATATAAACCTTGGAAACTTAATAGCCAAAGTTATTTGTTGATGTTTTTATCCAGAAATTAAGCTAGGTTTTGGATTATTAATGGAAAAAGGAAGGAAATGAATATTTAAGGAACTGCTTACTGTGTGCCAAGTACTTATACTATTTTTAAAATCTTTATAACAAACTTATGTCTTAGGTTTTCCCCCTGTTTTATCAATGAGGTAATTAAGAAAGTAAGCATTTTGTCCATTTCATGCCAGGTAAGAGTCTGTGTTCAAATATAGGGTTGTTTCCAAAGGGTGTGTTACCATTAATAATAGTAAACCATGAATGAAAGGTTTTGGAAAGCAAGAGTTAAACTACTAATTGTAGTGAATGGAAATGTTTTTCACTATTAGCACTGTAGAAAGTTACAAGATTTTTTGGGCAAGGAAGACATCGGGCATCAAATGATTTCTAATGAGACATTAGAAAGATAGGACCCTGAGAATAAATAAGAACTGGATAGTGATTTTTTAAAAATGCTTTATTTTGAGATAATTATAGATTCGTATGTAGTTGTAAGAAATAATACAGAGGTATCCTATATTTTTCATCCAGTTTCCCACAATGGTAAAACCTTACATGACTACCCTGTAATATCACACCTAGAAAATTGACACTGATACTATTCACTGATCTAATTCAGACTTCACCAGGTTTCATAAGCACTCATTTGTGTTTGTTTGTGGTTTTTTGTTTTTTTTCTTAATAATATATTTTTATTGATTTCAGAGAGGGAGAGGGGAAGAGATAGAAACATCAATGTTGAGAGAATCATTGATCGGCTGCCTCCTGCACGCCCCACACTGAGAGGATCGAGCCCACAACTCAGCCATGTGCTCTGACTTTCTCGTCTATAGATCGATGCTCAACCACTGAGCCATGCTGGCCAGGCCACTAATCTATTTTCAATCCCTATAATTTGAGATCTAAAAAATATTATTAAATGGGATCATGTAGTATAAAACCTTTTGAGAAATGATTTTTTTCACCCACTGTAATTCTCTTGCTACCTCAGTTTATTCACTCGGCTGTAACAAACTTCCACAGACTGAGTGGCCTTTAAACAACAGAAATTTATTCCTCACGCTTCTAGAGGCTGGCTGGCTGCGGTCTGGGTCCCAGACGATCAGGTTCTGTGTCTGGTAAGAGCTCACTTCTCAGTTCCTATGGTTACTGGTGGGGAGACCTCCGTGTCCCCACCTGTTGCCAGTGGAAGTGGGCTTCTTGCGATGTCATGAGAACAGGGATTTTCTGAGACTCGCACAGGAGAATGAGTGATACTTATTTGTGTGGAATCGGACCCCTGAGTTTCCAAGGTCCCTCTCCCTCCATCCCACCTTGGAAGAAGTCCAGCTGTGTCTTCAGTAGAGCTATGATTAAAAGCCACCCTCCAGAGCCTCTGTTCCATGTTTGCACAGTCCAATCCAGCATCCGGCGAGCTTAGCTTGTGTTCCCAGCCTGAGTCCATTGTGTGGGGGTTCCAGATGGCCATGGGCTATGCAGCTTCTGGGGCTGCATAGCTAGGAAGGGAACATGGGTGAGTGCAAGGAAGCAGGAGCCAGGCCAGAGGAACAAGAGAGAGAATTGCTTTGGGAATTTTATCCTAAGATTCCATGTGCTTGCAGTGCCTGTACCCCCTCTAGCCAATCCATGGTTCCCCAGGCTAGACTAACAGGCAAGTATCTTCCCTCCATCACCCCGACTTCACTGTGCATGCGTCCGTCTTCCATTTGTCCAGTCCCCTCCCTGAGTGATGTGCAGGGAATAGATCTGTGGTTCCCTGTGGGGAGTGTTAAGTGGCAGCTTCCTGGGAAGGCTGCCTGGGTGACCATGAATGTCTGGCCTTCCTGTGCTTCTTCCTGTTATTAATGTTAGCTAGCTCATTAGAACAGTGACAGTAGAAGGTGGTCCTCTTGTTCTAACCACACACGATGGAAGGGGCAAGGAGCTTCTTTACAAGGGCACTAATCCGTTCATGAGGGATCTACCCTCATGAGCTAATCACCTCCCAGAGGTCCCCACCTCCTAATGCTACCACATTGGGCATTAAGCTAACACATTTATTAGTTTTTTCCTTTTATGGATTGTGCTTTCGATGTCAAGTCTAGCAACTCTCTGCCTTGCCATAAGTCTTGAAGATGTTTCTTCTTCTTAAAGTTTAATTAATACGAATTTTTATTTAAGTTAGTAACCAGCTTGATTTAATTTTTATAGAAGATGTGAATTTATATATATATATATATATATAAATTTTTGGCCTATGAGTACCCTAAATAGTGATTTCAAAAGCTATACTGCCTGCCCTGGCCGATGGGCTCAGTGGTTAGATCCTTGGCCTGTATACTGAAGGGTCTTAGGTTCAATTCCCAGTCAAGTGCACGTGCCTGGGTTGCAGGTTCAATCTCGGCTTTGTTGGGGGCACATGTGGGAGGCAACCAATGAATGTCTCTCTTACATTGAGGTTTCTCTCTCTCTTATTCTACCCCTCCCTCCCTTCCATTCTCTCTAAATATCCTTGGGTGAGGATTACCACCACCACCACCACCACAAAAAAACAAACAAAAGACAAAAACAATCAAACAAACAAAAAAGCAAAAGTTACAGTGCCTTCTCAGTCTGAATCCAAATATTCCAGTAGTAAGGGTGACTGGTGAGCCATGAACAACCTACTCAAAGTTAACCACTTCTTGTTCCTAAGATGTAGAGTTAGGGAAGTCCCTTACACTGAGAATGCAAGGTGATATGAAAAACAGAATAGTGTTTTCAACTCAGAAATGTCTAGTTATTGTTATGTTTGCTTTGATCTCCTGTGAAAACTATTCTAACAATACTTTAAGAAAAGCATGTGAAAAAATGAAGTGTGACCTTAGAAGCATAGAGATAGAACAAGAACAAAAATCAGTGGTGCTATTAAGACAGTATGTCAACATGATTATTTACTAGGAATTGAGAGAGAGAAAGACAGACAGACAAACCCATAGTTTAGCCATTATAATGCAAAATTGGTCAACTTATTTAAAATAAAAAGCAAACAACAATAATAACAACAAAAGACACCCCTTCATTATCAGAAAAGAGGCAGCCAAAGTTAGAAATCTTTTCAAATACCTTCTGACTAAAACTGTGGCATTCCATCAAATCAATTACTGACAAGGCCAGTTTCTGACCACGTGGGGCTGATTTCTCTGGAGCCGCAAGCAGAAGGGCAATCCAAGCAAGATCTCCAGAAAGAATGTCAAGTCAGGCAAAGGGCAGGACCAATCTGATGCAATCACCAGTCTTTGGGAGTGAGTGTGCAGGGAAGATCAAGAGGAAGATCTCTCCTGATTTCTGTCCGCCACCACCCACAGTATTGCTTTTAAACTCTGCTCACCCTCCCCAATCCCTTTTCTCTTAAGAGTAATTATGTAGCCTGTTTTCTTTTCTTTCTTTTTTTTTTAAAAACTATTTATTTTATTTTATTTTATTGATTTCAGAGAGGAAGGGAGACGAGAGATAGAAACATCAATGATGAAAGAGAATCATGGATCTGCTGCCTCCTACATGCCCCCTACTGGGGATTGAGCACACAACCCAGGCTTGTGCCCAGACTGGAAACTGAACCTGGGACCCTTTAGTCCGAAGGCTGATGCTCTATCCACTGAGCAAAACTGGTTAGGGCGAGTAACCAGTTTTCTTGGTGTACTGTTTTACTGTGTGTTTTCATGAACATCATGTGATTATGTTTGCTAAATAATCCTTTATTTACCTCCTTTGCTGACATTTCTCTGAATTTAACATCAAAGAAAGAAAAGCTTAGAAGACTCTCTTGAAAATTTTGGTTTGAAATTAGCATTT